AGAGCCACCTCATAGGACAGAGAAGACCTACCTGTCGGTTTTCCGAGGCTTTGCAGAGCTGCTGGGGAGTCCAAATTGCTAACTATCTGTTGGTGGCCTAAAGCACCCCAATGGGGTCACCAGGTCTCCTTGGCTTGCATAAGACCACTCCCACCGAGTCGGTTCCATCTCACAGCAACCAATAGAATCGACTTGAACTACCTGCTAGGGTTTCTCAGACTATCAGTTCTGACGAGCACACAGCCTCATCTTTCCCCCTGAGAAGCAGATGACTTTGACCTGCCGGCCTTGTGCTCAGCAGCCCAATGCGTAACTCACTACCCGACCAGAACTTCGTTGGGTTGCAGCTGGATTTTAACTAAATCTCTGTGGATTAAAACAAAGTAAGTAGTAAGTAAAAAAATAAATAAGTGGATGGGATCTGGCAAGTGAGAAGTCTTTAAAGGCTTGATAGAATTTTTTTTTATTAGTTGAGACTTAAAACATATATCACTTGATACATATACATATAATATTTCAATCATGTTGAGTAGGGTTGTACAATTGCTGCCACAATCAGTTTCCAACCATTCTTTTTCGACATGGACTCCTTGACTTTTAAAAGGTCTGTTCGCATCTTTGGATTTTCTGCTGCTTTGCATAATCTGGAACTTGCTCTTAGGAAAGCAAATCATAGAAAATCTTAAACCGTCCATGGAGAAGAGAGGGGTTCCTAGGTAACCCTTCAAGTGACAATCCTCGTGCACACACCCAATACCCCCCTTCCTATACAACCTACCCACTCCAACATCAAAGAGCTTCACCGTGCGTGGCCAGGAAAGGAGGCGGAACAGGACAGCGCACGTGAAAGGAGACAGGCCCAGCACAATAGTATAGGCTGTGATCAAAATCCAACAGGTTCACTGAGCTCGTTCAGGGACTTAGACCTTGTTGAATTATAATCCCAAATCAGAAGGAAACGATTCCACAAGAGCAGCACAAAGGAATCAGGAGCCTTTCAGAAAAGCTCGACCCCCGCTTTCCCTTTCTGTGTCTAGTCATCGTCTTTCCTTATCTTAGAAGTGGAAGCAAAGCACGTGCTTTCTCAAATACACAAATAACAATTTTAGTAATAGGACACGGGTGGAACTTGAATAGAAAGTCGGTGTGAAAAATAGTAAGTTGCTTCATAAAGAAAACAGAGAAGAGACAGAAGAAAGTATCGGCGCCACCAGTCTTGGATCTCGCGTGGAGCCGTTACTCACCTCCTCCACCCTTAGTCTCGCTCTGGCCAAGGGGTTATAGGAGGCCACCCAACCATCCAGCACCGCGGGTTCTGAGCATCTGTAGAAGAGCAGGGACGCGGCAAGAACAGGGCCCTACGCTGGGGTCACTCTGAGTCAGAATACACTGAACAGCAATACATTCCGTCTGGTACTTCGCTCTCTTTCTCTTTCATCTCTCTTGTGCGCTCTCTCCCTCCACCTTTTCTGCTTTACATCTTTTACATCCCTTTTGCCACCTGTAATACAAATTTTCTCTTGGGGG